TAGTTCAGGGACTAGCTGTCCAACAGTATTTACAATAAATAAATAGAAAATTATAAATATAATAATGGTTAAAATTTTTTAAAATAAAACATTTACATAGAGGCCAACCTTTTCTACTGAGGCCAGTTTAATCTTGACGTAGGCCTGTCATGGAGCTCTGAGATACAGACCACTGCTGTTTATTGGGACCATCTGGAACCTTTCAAAATTCATTCAGAATAAATGCACCCAAAGGTCTCTTTTGACTAGGGCTTCAGGCAGATTAATTAGAAAAGACAAAATGCATAAACACAAGTCACGTTCTGGCTTGGCCATTCCAAGTAAGCAATATATAAAGAGTGTTCTAGCAGTACCAATGTGTATCTATGGAAACAGTAAATAAAAATTAGGACTATTAGTTCTCCTTATCCTGTAGGTCTGGGCCACGTGTCTGGACTATGTGCTATTGCCCCTTTCCTCACTGAAAGCCATTCAACATAAGTCTCTCAAAGACTACTTCACAAGAACTTCCCCCCCTTCTTTCTAAATAAACCAACAAACCCAAACAAAATAAGTACTCTCAAACCTGTCCTAAGACTCAGCCTGTGGCATACTTTTGCCATCCAGCAGCATTAACAACTCCTTGCTATTTTACTCTCCTCCTCCTCATGCCTCCATCACTAGATGCAGTTTTCCTCAAAAGCAGGCTGCCATGTTGATTGTCTACAACTATGGACAGGTACTAACAATGCAGAGGGCCAACTCAGTGCCCTTATTACTTGTCTGGATTCTTCAAGCCCATAAAAACAGATGCTGAAGAGCCAATAAACAAGCAACATATATGGCTGCTCCATATGTGCTAAAATGAGATACTTATTGTAACCTGGCTACAGTCATCATAGAGAGGCCTAGAGAACTTCCAGAGCTAAAAATTCCACCTTTTACTTTTAGTTTCCAGCTATCAGGAACTGGAGGGTACCTGTATTCTCACACTTCTCACAAAATTACTCAAGCATGACCAGATACTGCTCTTGGATGAACAATTACCCTAGTATAGCCCTTGTCCTTCCCCAATTTACTATTTGACTAAAATTATCCTGAGTCAAGCTGGCAGGAGGTCCTGTTCAGTGAAGTGGTAGAATAGCTCCTACTCCCTGCCAGGACGGAGGTAGCAGATTGGAGAGACTGCTGCTGGCTGGTTGTAGGATTTTGACAGAAACAATGCATTGAAGGCTCTAGGGATCATTCTTTGCTCTCATGTGTGCAGTTGATTACCATGTCCAGCAGCTGCACCATGCCAGTGTCCTGTATGCCTAGGAGCAGAGGGTGCAGACTGCAAGCTTGAAACTTGTTCTTGAATCCAACCAAGAAGTGCACCTGCCCATGGCAATTTGTCTAATAATTTGTTTTTAATATACGTATATAGATATAGGCACAGATATATTAAAAAAAAAACCAACTCTTTTTTTTTTAAGGCCCCAACCAATTCAATTTATAAGACCAAGCAGCTCAGAAAAAGAATATTGATGCTCTAATTCTGGTACTTGGGTGACACTGGGAAATTTTTCAGAAGATTTTAGATGAATCTTCTATGAACAAGTGGCAGCAGCTGCAGAAAGACAGATGGGTTTTTCTCCATTATGGACACTAGATGTGGAAGATTCCAGAAAACTAATTAGATGTCATCATATACTAGGGAAGCTCTGGCTACCATATGATGCCAGGAAGACATGAGCTACTCAGTAAAAATAAATTTGTCCATGAAGGAAGCTAGTCAGTCCCCCAGGAAGAACTGCACCATGACTGCTGGAAGAGTCAAGCCCATTGCAATATCATTTGTAAAGTGGGGTACAGCAGAAGGGATGATCCCACCAGACCAGTGGCAATGGCATAACCTTTGAGAAAGGCATCTGTTGTTAAGAAGGAGAAAGTATGACCCTAGTGAGGCTGAAGTTAAGTGCTCCACCTAGAGGATACCTAACTCTTGCTGGTGTGCCTGTGATAAGAGAATTAGAGTTCTCTCCACATAAATGTGACAGAGATTTTGCTGTCTTTCTCTCTGAAGATATTCCTGGAGCTGGAATGGAGGTCTGTGTGTTTTTCACTTCTTCCCCATTTCTCCCAGTGGTGCATGATGGCCACAATTCCCAAGCTTCCCCAAAAGTTGCCATGCAACCAACACGACTGGCTCACTATGAAAGTATCATCATTAATAAAAAGCATTAAACAGTGTGATTTCTGAAGACCCTCATCAGGTACATGGAATACAAACCATGAGCTGTTAATACACTGACACAGACTATGTGGTGTCACTTGCAGGAACACATAGCAGTGTGAATCATTTAGATTATGTGCAATGTCATGCTGTATAATTCAGCAGAATCTTTGACCCACAGTATTTTATTTACAGCACTTTCGGCACTCCCAAAAGCGTGCTCCAAGATCTCAAGGGTATAGATTATCAAGGAATTTGTCCTTGAGAATACAGCAACAACACCTCTGCAACATAGCAGATGAGATAACAGGATTTTACATTTCAACATGGAAGTTGATAACTGAAAGGCAGTTCAGTCTCCACGGTGGAATGAGACCTAGAGCCTTAGAAATTAAAACTAGAGTGTTCTGTCCCCGAAGAAACGAGGTTGAGATGCACAGGCTCATTTCCCACGTCACCACAAAATGACAAAGCTATCAGGACTTATAACTGTGCAAAAAAACCCAGTATTAAAGCCGGGAAGACAAGGCCTGTGATCTCTCACTTAAAAATTACACAATCACTCAAACTACAGATCGCCCATACGAATCTTTTATTGTCCCTTCTTGGGCAGAAAACCAGTAAAAAAGATGACGATTTGCCGTTTTTAAAAGCCTGAATCAAGAGCATCACCTAGTGGTGAATCAAACACCACATGCAAAACCAATTAGGAAAATGTAAAAAAAAACCAGTTGCCTTTTTGTTGAAGGAAACACATAAAATCTACTCTGGTTATAAAAGCATCTACTGGGTATTTCAAAAAGCAGAATTTATTTAAAATTTATTTTCAAATTATTTCTTATTTCAAATAAATAGCAATTAACTTTTCATTTGTATACGAACATTTTTCTTTTTTTAAACTTTCGCTCCCTATTAACACCTAAGCCTACATGTAAATTAACTACTGCAACTGACTGTTATATTCATAATATCTAAATTCCACCAGTCTAAACATGAATATTAATTTACCATTTTGCCCTGTACATTCTACATTCTATACTGTTTACCATCCATTTGATTCACTGGGCATTTCTAGTATCTCCAACAGATGTTTTTCTCTTCAATTTTTTAAAAGGCAGAGTGCCTTGTGCCTTTCTTACTTAGAAGCTTTAGAGTTTTCACCTCATGTATGCATCTTGTGCATGTGACCATTTATCTAAGACAGAAAATATCATAATTGTTCTATAATCAATTTATTTTATTTTTATTATCTTTTGTTAATACTTTTAATTAACATATGTTTTTAATATTGATTCTGGGAAAGCAAGTTCAGAGACTGCAAAACCAGATATACTTCAGTTACACTTCCCAATGAAGGGACACAACAGAACTGTAAGAGGCAAACATTAAAATGTACATATTTGAACAATTAACATATATTTTAGTGACTTAAAGCTTTTAGAAAAAAAAGACTGCCTCATTTAATTGAATTACCTAATACAAAAATATGCAAATAAGAGCAATAAAGTACATTAAATAGTCAGGGGTATCAACCTCTAAAGAAAGAATTTTTTCATACCTATCACAGAAAAGCTACACAACGAAGACAGAAATATTATTAAACCTGAAAAATGAAACTGTGAAAACCTATTTGCAAAAAAGGAATGATGGATTTAGGAAAAAAATAATCCAAAAAAATAATCCAAACTACTTCCCACAGCATCTGGCTTAGTACTGTACATTTGTACCTTAACTGGCTAGCAGGGCTGTTCCCTATTACAGACCATCTTCCTCCTGTTGTCACTCCTTTATCACAACATCCCAATTTCCAAACTTGGGAAGCAAGATTTCCCCACCTTACCTCTAGAGCTCTCTTGTAATCACCCAAATGAAATGCACAGTATCCGATCCAAAGTTTGCCATCCTCCTCCTCCTCACCCACGTGCTGTTTAAACTTTGCAGAGAATAAAGAATGTAAGAATTTTGTCAGCTGACATAGTTTCTAAAGCCCCACAGATAACCATAGCAACACTAGATTATCATATATCGCGGATGGTTTGACAGCTGTGCATGCTGCTGGGGTGCAGCGGTTTTCACGTTTCGAAGGGCAGCAGGAGGCAGCCCCAGCAGGCCAAACCCGGCTTTGTGAAGCGGGAGCAACAGGCGCCGCTGCAGGGCCCCGGGGGGGCGGGAGGCTCACAAGGCAGGGGAAGGGGTGCTCTCGCCCCGCAGCCCTGAGGGCACAGGGCTGGCAGCGACGATTCCGCTCTCCCGAGGGGAGCCCGTCACCTCCAGCAAGGCGATCGCGCCGGTGAAGTCCCTCTGGGCCAAGAGTTCTTCCAACTGTGGCGCCTCCTTCCCTTTCTTCCTCCGCTTGTCTCCCGGCGGCGGGGTACCCCCCACGGCCGGCTTGGCCCGCGAGAGCATCTGGGCACAGAGCAAAGCGGAGCCGAGTCAGAGCGGGCCCTCCCTCGGCGGTGCCTGCCCCGCCGCGTCCCCCATCCTGCCGCCCCTCACCATCCTGCGGTCCCTCACCGCCCCGCCGCCCCTCACCATCCTGCGATCCCTCACCGCCCCGCCGCCCCTCACCATCCTGCGGCCGGGCCCGGGCTCCGCGTTGCGCCGGCGGCGCCGTTGCCGAGGTAACGGCGGGACGGCGGAAGGCCGCGGCGAAAGGGCGCCGGCTGACGACCGGCGCCGTCCCCAGCGTTCCGCCTCCCGTGTGGCGGACGGCGGTCTCCGCGGCGGCCGCCTCGGTCAGGACCGCGTTGGTTCCTCTCCCAAACCCCGTGGCTTTTCCTCTCCTCGCCTTTGGTCCCTGGCCTGAACATCCGGGTCCCGCACTTGGGTAGCAATAGCGCCACGGATCTGGGACGGAGTGGCTGGAAAGCGGTCAGTAGGAAAGGAGCCGTGGGCGCTGGTTGACAGCGTGAGTCCAGGCGGCCGAGAAGGCAAATGGCATAAAATGTGGCCAGCCCCTGTACACTCGTGAGGCCACGACAGAAACGACATTGAGGGGCTGGAGTATGTCCAAAGGAGGGCACCAAAGCTGCTGAGGGGTCTGGAGCACAAATCGAGTTGTCCCAAAACAGTTTTTTTTTCACCCGGTGTTCAAGAGGCTAATCCACATGGAGAGTCAAGGTCTTTGATGTATTTTCAGTTCTTCACAGAAAGAATGCTGGGTGGCAAACACACAAAGCCAGCATGACAACTATGAAAACTTTTCATTGTTTATACATTTTAGCAAACAAAGGCATTAAGGTCCATTGTCTGTAAGTTACATAGTTCCCTTAATAATCAGTATTCTATCATCTACTGATTAATGATTCTCTCACTTTTCATGCTGATTAGCCCACACACTCAGTCTTTTGGGTCAGTGGCATGAGTCAGTGGTCACAATTTATCCACTGCTGATTACTTTTTACCCAGCTGGGCCTGATTCAGCAGAGTTGCTGAGTTGTCTTTATTATTTCTTCCTTGACTTGGGGGTTCTGCCAAATGTCCTTGTGGCCTGTAAATTTTACTTTCCTTGTGTCCAGTATCAGTGGTACAACCTTATTCCCAAGCTAGTGGTACAACCTTATTCCCAAGCTTTGTTAGCCTCCATTTAGGTCTGAGATCATTGAAACATGTCAAGCCCTAAACCTTAACAAGGCAGTTCTACCAACAACTAATTTGTCTTTCTAATGCTTGGACATTACTGAGAGCTTGCTTGTTAGCTGCTCCCTGTTTCACAGATTAAATCTCTTTTTGATTGGTCTTGAAAGTATACAAAGATAAACATCAAAGAACATATTTTCTTACGACTAATAACATAGTGATGAGCGGCTGAAGGAGCTGGAGTTGTTTAGCCTGGAGAAAAGGAGACTCATGGTGAGATGTGCTTGCTTTCTACAGCTACCTGAAAGGGTAACTGAAAACGGGTTTTAGCAAGGTGTGGGTTCATCTCTTCTCTCAAGAGACAAGTGAAAAAAACTTCAAGTTATGTCGTTGAAGGTTTAGACTGGGCATTAGGAAAAAATTCTTCACTGAAAGGATGGTCAAGCATTGGAACAGGTTCCCCAGGGAAGTGGTGGAATTACCATTTCTGGAGTGTTCAAAAGACATGTAGATGTGGCACTCGGGGAACTGACAGACCTGCAGTGTTAGGTTGATGCCTGAACTCAATGACCACAGAGATATTTTCCAACCTTCTATGATTAGAAATGTCAGTGTAGAGGATTAAAACATTACACTACTGCTGACAACTAACTCAAAAACACATTCATGGACAGGACTGATGAAGTATCTGTAGGCAATATTCTTTCTGTTTTTTAACAAAAAGTAACTGAAAATTTAATTTTACTACATTGCTTTCTTCTGTTTTTTTTTTTTTTTTTACAGAGATTCTTTCAGAAGACCCTGTTGTTCTAAGGATCAACATAAATACAACTAAATTATTGACTCAAATGAAAGAAAGCTCTCAGCTGCTCCACCGGTTTCTCCCATTTCCAAGTGGCTCCTGAATTTGTATGTGGTGGATCCAAAGCTGGGCAATGCACAAGAGATAACAGATGCACAGTGCCAGTGGGTTAGCTGTGGGCACAAGAACGACAGTGTCAACTGTGATAAAATGTGATAGCAGCATCAAATTGACCAAAACATTTTTAGCATGTCTGGTGTAGACATTTTTACTAAGACACAATATAAAGTATGTGGAGATATTATAATTTTTCCTCATATGAAACACTAAGATGACAATTCATAAATTAAAGACCAGTCAAGAAGTTTGTCTACTCTAGAATAATACTGGAGAGCTGCTGCAATTCTTATCTCCACTATTCTTTTAGCCAATGCCATTATCCTGAGTCTGTGAGCTGTAAAATTATTAATGATCATGTTTATTTCCACACAAATTGCTGGGAGAATGGGAATTTACTTACACTAATGGCAGCACCAGGGAAATAATGCACCCATGACTAAACACCAAGGTAATCATCAGAGGGTGCAATGGATGTTTATATAAAAAATCAGAGACTGGAAAGTGAGATCTAAGAAAGAGAGGAAGGAGGGAAAGGAAATTTTTAAAAAGGAAAGAAAGAAAAGGCAAGAAGTAGAAAAACCCTCATTGTAATATGAACTAAAGCAAGAGGCTAGGACATGACCTTTGCATCACCAACAATCATGTGCTTCAATTTCCACAATATCTGAGTAAGACCATGTTCTTTCAGTAATGATGCTTCACCATGTTCTGCATTTTGTTCCTTTGAAAATGCACCTGACAACATCTGACATCTCAAGATCAGTGATACACAAAAGTGAGAGCAATGCTCACTTTGTAGCTGCTACAGCTACAAAGGCAATCCCTTGAAATGAGAAAATGGGAAATTACCCCTTTAAAAGCAAGGAACTTGAACAATACTTGTTTCTTTTTGTTTATGGTGTCAACAAGTGCTGAGTCGTAATTTACCCTGGATAGACCACCCATGATGAGAGAAGCTGAAACACCTAAGTTGATGGATCATGTGCCAGCTCCATCAACTATTCCCCAGCTCAGGAAGGCAAACAACAGCCATGTCAGTTAAAGACCTCCAAATAGTGACATGAAAATTCATCATTATTATCTCTATTTGGAAAGAGGAAACTTTAGTTTTCACTCGTGTTTATGTCTGTGATTTTTAGGGGTCTGTGGGAAATGCACCTTCAGAATTTTTGTGATATTTCCAGCATGTACTTGTCATTAAGATTCAGTCAAGATAATAAAAAATCTGTTCTTGTATTTGATTTTAGCATTGCATTTAGGTAAGTTTTTAGAAGTTTATGTATGTAGAACTGAAGGAGAGGAGGCAAGACAATCCACTGGTCCAGTGTGAATCAGTGATAGAACTGAAAATGGAATGCATGGTTAGCTGTGTCTGCACTAACTTATCCAAGCCAAAAAGTCACATCGCTGCAGGTGCTATGTCCCAAAGAATGCAGTTGTACTGGCTCAGGACATGTGCTGATATATTTGTACAGTGATCCACTGCCATTTCGATTTACAGGATCAAGTGTACACTAGCTTGAAAATCTCATAACTCCATCCCAGCACATAATACAAACATTAGTCATGTTTAATAGAAAGAGGTTAATGAAACTGAAGTATATGTCTAGGACATAAATTATTACACATTCAAGCCATTTACCTTTGTAAAGATAAACATAACAGTTGTTTGCCCATTAAGGATAGCTTACATTTGTTTCTTGACAGAGGTGTATCCTGCTGAGCGTATAAAAGAGGCAAACCGGTACGCTGAAAAGGCGAATGTGTCCTGTCACTCTGGAAACAAAGTCCTTTAGAGAAAGAAAACAGTAGTTAAGAGGAAAGACTTCCTACTATTTATTTTTGTAGTATACAAGTTAGGTGGATAAATAATATTCATATCAAAATGTATATGTGTTGGGAAAGAGTTAACAGGAAGGAGAATTTCTTAATAGAGCTAGATGTTTATGACACATCACATATTTAGCTTCATTTTCTGGTATTTGGCAACATAATAGATCAATAGGAAGATGGGGCCACCACCCAAGCTGTTGGTAATATGATGCAATTCCACTTTTCTTATCCTTGTCTGTACTCTTCCTCCTACTGGATTGGTAACTGCTGATGAGAACAGTCAGTGCTTTGCAGCATAATTTCATTCTAATCTGTGTCAGCAACTGAATTATGGCAGGAACCTGAACTCTCAATAACCCATGGGAATGGCTATAGTATCATGCTGTACTATCAGGATTGTGCATCACATGACCCACATGTTTTTATGTTGGTTTACAGGCTTGTTGCTTATCAGTTTCTGGTTCCAAAGGATAGCGTTTGCAAAATCTTTCTTTATGTTCTTTTGTAGTAAATGAGAAAGAAAAAAAGATCAGTTCTGAAAAGTAAATATAGCTGCTATGCAGCTGCTATATATGTATACTGTATCTATGTATACAGCTGCTGTATATGTACACTATACAGCTAAATTCATAATTATTTACATTACTGTCCTCTAAGTCTAGATAGTAGAAGTATTGTAAAAATAATTAAAAAGGTGGGAAAACATTATTTCGTATCACTGGTCTACTCTCTAATATTGAAAGTTAAGGAAGACATCTTTTTATTCTCCAGTTGACACCAGTAAGTTATTGACATTAAATAAACACAGATGTTACACTGCTGTATTTTTTTTCTTTTCTGTCTGTAACCATATTTGTGATTTCAACTTCTGACAAAACTGAGAAAAGGGAAACTGAAACATTTATATTTTATTTTTCTTTAATCTGATTTTTGAAATCTTTTTAAAGATAGAGTAGAAGCTGCTAAAGTCCCAGACAATCAATATAATTTGGAATCAGACTTAGTAATACTGGGTAGAACTTGAAAACAACATAGATGTTTTTCAGCATTTATCCTGTTGGCTAAATATGAACAACAATACAACATATAATGTCTTATGCATACTTATTATTAAAAAAAAATCTGTATTTTATGGAAACAATGTTGACAGCTTTGCTTATTCAAAAACATAGACATGATAGATTTCATGCCACTGAAATCAAGGAAATTTGTTTTCAGAGTTAGTGAGAATTAAGAACTTAAGTGCATCTACAGTTATTTTTATTTATAATATTTTCAATTTTTTTTCTCTCCCTTTTTCACATTTTTCAGTTCTGCAATGCTGAAGACTTGAAGCATGTCTTTTATTTTAATGGGATGTCATATTCTTGTGTACTGTCAAAATTCCTGGCGCTGGAGAAAATAAAAAATAATGTGCAATTTTAAAAATCGTAAACTTATCACAACAATTGTAATTAAATGACATTGAGAAATAATTGTAGCAAATATTCAGGGAAAAATTCCATTTTAAAGTACACAGTCAAAACATATTATTCTGCAAAATAAGATGATTGTATCACAATGCATGCTTCTTTAGAAACTAGTGGCTTGAAAAATGCTACCTTGGTTGTCTTTGGTACCAAAGAAATTGAAGACGAGCTGACAATATGTTTGTGTTATTTTCAGACTTACTAAGACTATTGTTACTAACTACCACAAGTAGCAGTTTGACTGACTGCAGCTACTCGATACCTTCACCTAATTCTTTGGTTCTTCTGAGATTTCTGGAATTTTCATTCCATGTATTTTTTCTTTTTTCTCCTCTGTGAGTGGTCAAGTGGAAATCATGATTTGTAACTAAGTAAAAAATAAATTAGGCTGCATGCCAGAGTAAGATACTAAAAATATCCATGGTAAAGGTGTTGAAGATAGTGCATCTCCAACAATCTCGACAGTTGCAATATATTGTGAGCTGATAGGCAAAGGGACTCTGTGGTGCCCAGGCTGGCCTATCATTCCCATTTTCAGGACTTTCAGACTCTGCACAAAAAAAAAGAGAAGACAATCAAATGAGGAAGACCCCATCACATGCAGCATTAAAAAAAAAGAGTGGAAAATGTTCTATAGATCATAACCGTTCATAGGCTGACAGAGGAACAAGTCTTTGGAATTTTTTGCTCTTCTTTTTCTCTGACTGTCCTTGAATTTTCCAGAAGACAGAACTTTTCAGAGTAGTTATAGATCAGGAAGTCAGTGCTGATTATCAGTTGCAAATACACCCTATAATATCTAGTTGTTTATTATTCAGTAAATCCTAGGGCAGAAGAAATACGGTGCTTTAAAGTGCTGTAGAACTAGGCACTGAAAGACACTTTTCACTAAAACAAATGATACAGTTCTCTGGTGAGTTAATTTGATGTGGTATTTCTAACCTAACACTGACTATAAGATTACCTGAAGAGAACTATTATGATGTTTTGTAGCCATACAATATATGGACAGGTAATGTTGGTGAGGAACTGAATTTTTTTCTTCAGACAAATAAATACAGGTCCTGCCTATATGAATCTGAATCATCCCTGTGCTGCTGAAGCCAAAATAAGTGATAAACTACAGTGATTCAAGGGGAGACCTCCACAAACTGTTAATCATTCTAGGATTACAAAGATGAGGGTCTCAAGCTGATGTTCACCTAACAACTGACTTCTTGGATAGACACTTGCATGTAGTGAAGATACGTAATACTGAGATATTTTTTACTTTTCTTCCAAGATTATAGCAGTAGCTGATGCCTAGAAGCAACAGCTAAAAACAATGCACTGCGGATGTCAGATGCCATTTTTTAGTACCTTATTCCTTAGACAGTGATTAAATCTCAGCACTGTTAAGGGAGAAAAATAGTTCTAGAAGATGTGCTTTAAAGTTTTGTGGGTTGTCAGGAGAGGATACCTTAGGCAGGATATTGCTGGTGTTTGAATTTCTTGCTCTGTTTCTCCAGTCATGAGAGACACTTTCAGAGGAAGGCAGATTTATTTGCATTTGCTTTCAGGATGCTCCCATTACCTGTAGTTCTGTTGTAAGCCAGTATTTCTAGTTAAAGCTGCAGTCACCTACAGGAGTCAAAACAGTTTTCTTTTTGCTTCCAACACATTATTTGTCTTCTGAGTTTCTGAACTGTATCCTTTGCTGACTAATCTTGGAAGTGTGAGAGCTGGCTCATGGTTGGAGAAAGGTTACTGAGATAGTGGAGAGAGTGCTCTAGAGAGATATGGAAGGGTTTTTTTTAGTAGCTGCCTGATTTGTATCACTGTTAACCTCTTGGGTTTATAAACTGTTAGATTGGACCTTATGAAGGAATTAGATGAGGTTGGCTCCTTGGGACCTTAGCTGTGTTCTGCAGCCAGGACACTATGAATGAACTGGTATTTGTGTCTCATCTATTTCTCAGGTCTAACAATGCCTTAAGCAGAGGCTGCAACAAGGACAAAAATACAGAAGCTTCTGCTTTGCTTGTGACAGGCCTATCAGAGTTTGTACTTTACACATCTGACTCATTTATTTACTTTTGCTTCTCTTCACCCTCATGAACATCTATAGTATCAGTAACTGTCATATGTACAGTGCAGTGACACAGCTTTTCTTTGTCTCTCTTATGCCATGAGGCAGATGTTACTGATCAGTCTGCCAGGCAACTGTGTTTGATGTCCAAAGCCCCAGGGTACAAGGGAAAAGTATGGTGTTTGGCAGGTTTCATGGAGATCTTGTTTCATCCTAGCTGCTGCCTCCTGCCACACTCCCTGCTGCTCTATGTCACCAGATTCTTCCGTCATGGGAATTCATTGAGAAACTACACACACACCAAGCAACTAAAAAGTTGATAAGTCAACAATTAATTTATATCATATTCTGGCTGGGGCTGTGGCATTGTGACAGTGTAGGACAAGGGAGAGAGTAAAAAGAAGTGCTGTGATAAGCCTATAGTTGATTTTACTTTTGTTTTTAAAGGACAGTTTCAACCTGCTAAGAAAAGTAAATAAAAACATTAGTAGATCCAAAGCCAGGGAGACTTCAGTGCCATTACATACAGCCTGTGGGACCAGCTGTGTAAAATACTCAGTTCTAGTTGTGTTATCCATGCTGACTGTTTCTCCTAGATAGGCTAAGAAGAGTATAGAAATGCAAATCCTGCTCTGCTGAAGTTAATGATAAATCTCTTATTGACTTATATGGGATAAGTTTCAAGGACATTGGAAGTACCTATAAAATGAGCCAGTGTTGAGCAGATGATCTCCACATGAAAAGCCGTGTTCCATTCTCAGTCTGTGGCTCTAGACAGCCATACTAGTCCACATGTTTGCATGACAGACTGTTAATTTAGAATTACTGTATTATTAATTACAAATGCTAGATTAAATATGCAGAGA